GCTCTCTCCCCCCCCACCAGCAGCAGCAGCAGCAGCAGCAGCAGCAGCAGCAGCAGCCTGATGCTGCCTGCTCTGCAGTGTGGTGACATCATCCCAGAGGCAAAGTCAGGACTAGGACTGCTGCTCAGCACAGCACAGAGCAGAAGTAAACCAGACCTCCTTGTTATTGTCCGTGAAGGCCTGTATGCCACAGGTTAATGCCATTACCTCATAAATAAACACATGATCAGCAGTGATGTATAGATGTCCTGCTAAAGTAATGGCCGCTTGTTCTCTCCTAAAGATATTATCTGCCAGCGAGCTTTGCCCTAATGGAATATCATGTATCAGGACTTCAGAAAAGTCAGATGGCTGCGACGATGGTTCATTTAATAGCTCACTCATCTAATAAGCTTTGTAAACCTCATGAAAAACATATGGAGGAGGAGCACTCCGAGGACAACAGATCAGGTTCTTGTACTGTAGAAGCAGGTTTCTTTTAGCAGGAGAAAGTGTGAAAATCTATCTGGTCTTTTGTGACAGAACACATGAGAACAAAACAGCCCAGATTATGCCATAACCCAGACCTCCAGCTCATATTTAATATTTAAACACCTCCTGCAATCTATTCAAAAGACCTGTCAGCTCACCTGTCAATCATTCTGCCCTCCGTCCAACATCTGTTTTCTGCCCTCAGATCACAGCACATCCATCCTAACAGTGTTATGTTTCCACACTCCAGCTGTGATCAGAGGTGCACCATGTGACCTTGCCCCAGGCCAGCATGGTGGTCTCAGTCTGGACACTGAGAAGAGGAAGGAGAGGCTGCTGAACGAATCAGACCAGGATTGAACTAGTTTATCAAAGTGAGGTAAAAAAAAACTGCACTGTACTACAGTGTTTCACAACCATTTAGCTTTAGCACAGTTTTACATCAGCCAATATGTATGTACTGACAAGTATAGGTTATAAAGATATAATGATCTTCGAGTTTCCATTTACTTTAAATTCCTCAGTGTGAAACGTGAGCCTATTTAGTTGAACACAACTGTGATAAACAGTAATCGCAGATCTTGAAGAAAGACACACGAAGATCCTCTTCACAAGTTGCTCAATGGTTACGATTTATTACCATTGTATTTAGCAAATACAATGTATGTCTATTGCCAAAAGGGCAAACACCAACAGCAGCTCTTTTTTTATATTTCTGTTGAACAAATTCACCACATTTGGTCCAAATAAGCTCAGAAAAGTAACATTCAAGGAGTTAAGAATTATCTGGTAACAGGTTGAGGTAATCGATGTAGATGTAAAAGGAGCATCCATTAAAGGCTTGGTTTTCATTAGAGAAAAACAGGTTTTAGTTTTTACTGGAGGAGAATCTTTATTAAGGTAAAGAATTCTTCCCTGTATGTAGTTATAACAGACTTGATTATATTTTAATGAAAGTTAATAAAAAAGGGGATAAAAACAGATTGGACACACGAGGTGTGAACGACTGTTACAGCCTGTGATGAACCAGAGTTCTGTGTGAGTGTGAAACCACAGTCGGGTACAAACTGTACGGCACGTTTCACTGAGTCAGGCCTGCTCCGTCTTAGTCTGACCCATCAAACACTTAACAATCAATTGCTGTCTCGTGGGGGAAGCAGCTGATGAGAAAGAACAGGTGATTAGTTGCTGAGCTGTTGTGCTCCATTAAGCGGGCAAAAACTCCAAGACGCTGCCAACCCAGTTAGTGGCTGCACAGACTGGTCAATGGCTACTTTCATTCATCCTCCGTCCTGACGTAATGGCCTTTCCACACGGGGGCAGCCAGATGTTGGATCTGCAGAATTACAAAAAGGAGGGAGTTGACTGTCACCCGCTAAGGAAGTGAGAGAGTCCACTGACCTGGTCAATCACTATTACAAGGACTCTCCTTCATTTGTCACAGGAAGTGGCTGCACTCTGAGCCATCTAAGTAGTTCCTGGTTCTATTTTTCACAGATGTTGCGCTTTTTAAAAAATTTATTCAGGAGGCAAATTACTCCACTGTTGGCGTTTGTTCATACAGCATAAGGATGTGTTTGTGTGTCTGTAGAGTGGAGGAGGCTCATCTGTAAATCAGTGCAGCAGCTTGCGTCAGCGTGGATGCTAGTCCTTCTGCAGACAAAGTGCTGGAACAAGTGCAGCTTTTAATTAGGGCCAAATGCCACTTGTAAACAGTTCTCTATCTCCTCTGCTGTCGGCCATGCATCAAGTGGACGCAGTCCCTCAATTCGCCGCTGGGTGCCACTAGTACGTTGTGAATGTGTGGTAGAAGTAAACGTGGCCACATTGTGGAGATGTGAGGAGAGGGGATGCTATTTAAAATGAGTAAAGGTTGAATAGCCAGGGGCCAGAAATACATGGTACAATCACAAATACATATTAATGTAGAAAGAAATGCGCGTGCGTGCGCACATGCACACACACACAAAAGAATAGCTGGAAAGTGACGTGCATGAGTTGACAGGAACTGGGGAAATGGATTTTACTTCTAAAGAAAAATATATTTGCCAAGTGCTTTGAATATAACAAACAGGTAGTGTGAGTATAGAAATATAATAATATATTGCATTATAATAATTGCGTAATATATATACAGTATATAAAAATATACAAAATATATATGTACACATGAGTGAATATATATATTTATACATATAATGCAATAAAGGTCAAAGGTCATATCTACAGTAACTTGTTTTGTAGTTTTTTTTTCCTTTACCTTTTGACCAACAACAATAAATATTTCCTTCCTTTTCTTCCTTTCTCACCAGGTGAACAGACGAATATTTAATGATATTAAAGTCCAGGCTCCTGGGAGAACAACAAGTACAATCAAAAACATTTGTTTTTTGGGGGGTTTACTGCATTTACAGTGTGCTGGGATTCATTATCCTACTAAAAGATAAACCAAACAAATGCTGTGGTCACTCAGTGTGAATATCGCCTGTTGATCACAAGTCAAGAATGTTATAGCTTTTCCTCTCTGTGATTTTACAGTTAGATTTGCATGTTGTAGCTTTTCCTCTCTGTGATTTTACAGTTGTTGGAAGTTGGAGGCAAACTTAAACATCTCTGATCGATCTTAGAAAAACTGTTCATGAAATTATTGAATATTTTAATGTGATTCTTTACTAAATCACTGGTGTTTTTTTTTGTGTCTTCTTTCAAATTAAGCAAATCTTTTAGTCGAAACATTTATGGCCTCTGACCTGTTACCAGCTGTAACTCATTCAGATGTTTTGCTCTGTAACAGCCCTGTTGGAAGAACATTACTGTTGTGAAATGCTGTAACTACTTTCTGTCTGTCAGCCTGATGAAACGTAAAGTATTTTATTGTTGGTTTAATGTTTTAGGTGGTGATCAGAAAAATGCTCAGGCCATTCATGACTTAGAACAGGGTTGTCAAACATAAGGTAACCGGCCCGCTCGATTAATTTAGAAAAAACAAAAATACATAAACACTTCATGTTCAGGATATGTTTTTAAAAATAATATTTCAATATGAAGACGTATTTAATGTGTTTGTACTTCTCTGCATGAAAACAAAGAGGAAAAACATTTTCATTGTTATTGTTATTTATAGGTAATTATGTTATGATTGCACTGGTCCGGCCCACTTGACATCTAATCAGCTTGTATGCGGCCCTGGAACCAAAATGAGACTCCCCTGGCTTAGAAATACACATTTTGGAATGTTATAAATGTGTACATTTTTACGTTTTTAGCTCCCCCAAAAAGTCCTTTCTAAATCTTTTGACAGCTTTAAATAGTCAATAGTCTGTAAACAGGCATCAAATAATAAAGAAAATTAAATCCTGAAAGCTAAAAAAGTAAAATGACAGGTGAACAAACTGGAGTTACTTTATTTTTTTGTGGCTTTTTTCCTAGGTGGAACTTTAATAATATATAGTTTATTCAAACTATTAGTTAATGAGTGCTCGCTGATAATAAAGCCCGTGAATACAATCTAATACAATGTATTAGGGATTAGTCATCACCACAGACTGAGATGTCCTGCAGTGCAGCTGTTTCACTCTGACCCCACTTGAATTGATAACTTGCGTAACTCAGACCCAGGTGACGGAGCACATGGAGACATACTGTACGTACGGACCCATCTGCACTGGAGGTCCCGGTGAACGCAGGGCCACAGTTTGGAGCACACACATGCGTGCACAGCCACACGCACTCTCCCTGAGTGTGTGGACTGTAACTCATCTATATAGGGAGGAAGTGTATGTTTGGCCTATGTGATGGGAAGATTAATTGAAGGTTTTAGTAATTATGAGCTTGGCAAAGCTGTGGGCTGGAGAAGACAGAGTGACCCATCTCTTTTTACTGTGATGCATCAGCAGAGCGCCAACCACTGCAGACCCTATTCATATGGCAATTAATGGAGCACTGTATATCAATGTCATTCCACCCCCCCCCCCCCCCCCAGATCAGCGCATGGATAACTCCTA